ATTAAGAAAGATTTTTGATTTTTTGCCTTGTAAAGACAAAAAAATCAAAAATTTTGATTTTTTTTTACAAAAATTATATTAATTTAGGTTGAAGGAAGGTTTTATGTGAACAAAGCATTGGAAAAATTGATGTTCGAAGAGTTGCGAAACGCTTGCAGACAGGATGGTATAGGTGGATTTTTGCCAGCCGTACGACAAGTTGGAAATGTTGCTGCATTACCGGCGATTGTAAATGTAAGCAAATTTAAATTTTGCCCAAAATTTCATATATTTTTACATATGGCTTATAACGTGCGTGCTGCTGCTGAAAAAATTGCCAGTTGTTTTTAGCAAATTGGAAAGTTGCCAACTGCATAGATGGACTAATATTTAACATAAATACAGTGTATTTAGGCCAAGATTTTGCATACCTCCATTTTTCTTGTGCCTCTTTTTTTGAAGAGTTATTTTTTATGAGCCGGAGAAACTGCGTATTTGAATGTATCGTCAGTGATAACTGCTCTTGTAGTTTTTGTTCATAAATGAGCCAGTTGTTACCAGCGGGTATAACCATTTGTAGCGCGACTGTGTCGATATTGTTGAGAGGGGGAGGGGGGTGGGGAAGATGTGCTCCTAACTTATTTTTTGCAAATTTTCGAAATTTATTGCTTTTAAAACAGCTTCACTAGCTTCGAATTGGTTACGTTTCTCTGAGGCAGCGAAATTTGAGCGAGCGAATTTTTTGCATGTCGCCTGTGAATTTCAGGCATCAATTGGTCTGCCAGACATACATTCCGGTTATGGTTTTGCTATAGGAAATATTGCAGCTTTTGATGTTTCGGATCCAGATGCTGTTGTATCGCCAGGTTGATTTATTCTCTTTTTTTGGCTTTAAATCATGTTTGAAGTGCAATATTAGTCATTTTTTCAGCTATAGAGTTGTAGAACTAATCTACAGAGCATAGAGCTGGATTGCATAATAAAGATACTGGTGTTAAAAATATATATAAATATATGCATAAATAATGAAGAGGGACTTTTTGGTAAATTATATTCCGAAAAAGTACCACAAACTGGATTATTTTGAGGCTAGACTGAATTTCAGCACAAAATTTTTCGAATATGCATGCTCCGACTATTTCTCGCCATCCCCATTTTTCCTCTTTTTTTCCCTTTTGCCTTTTTCCTCGCTTTCCGCCCCACCCCA